TTTGGAGAGTTCACTTCGTTCAAGCTGATCGCTCCACTCTGATCATTGGTGGCTTCGAGCTCGAGACAGCTCAGTGGTTATGGCGCCTGCTCACAGAGCGGAATTTCGTCCGAAATCAACCACGAGATCTGGACGGCTTCTGTCTAGGTTTGGGCAACCAGGCAGTAATGCAGCCCTCGTGCCTCCTTCCGTTTGTATGACAGCTAGGCACTGAAAGGGTACTACAGCTGAACGATGTTTTGATGACTTCTATCACAGGTGGTTTCCGTAGTCCGATCGCATGGATCAACAGAAATAATTTTAGATCGACAAGGTTTTCGTCAGAGGCTATGTGAACACTAAGGTTTTGAACAAGTTCTAATGTTTGTCTCATTATCTAATCGATCACGAAGTTAGATAGGAATAGAGAGAGTGGGCAACCCTGACGGACACCGTTTTGTATACGGAGAGTTCACTTCGTTCAAGCTGATCGCTCCACTCTGATCATTGGTGGCTTCGAGCTCGAGACAGCTCAGTGGTTATGGCGCCTGCTCACAGAGCGGAATTTCGTCCGAAATCAACCACGAGATCTGGACGGCTTCTGTCTAGGTTTGGGCAACCAGGCAGTAATGCAGCCCTCGTGCCTCCTTCCGTTTGTATGACAGCTAGGCACTGAAAGGGTACTACAGCTGAACGATGTTTTGATGACTTCTATCACAGGTGGTTTCCGTAGTCCGATCGCATGGATCAACAGAAATAATTTTCTAGCATTTCCGGCTTCCTGGGCCTCTTCCATTTCCGTAGCTTTCCGTGTCCACCGGACTTCACGGTCGGTGCGCACGCTAACTCTCACTTGATATCTGAAAAAAATTATTTGTGTCAAATTATGTTCGGAAATTTAAGGGATATTCCTCCAAGATCAATGCAGTGCCACGGTTTGGTCTGATATCCGCTGCTTGAATAGGCTTAATGGGGCCGAGTTACGGGCGAAACTCCCAACACTGCACAAAAAGGTGGCGATCTCGTCCCAGTACGAATTCACATTTGATGGTGGAGCATTTAGAAGAGATCAGAAGACGATTGTGGTAAGTTTGTCTGACATCCGGATCTGCCATTCTTTCAGTTGCCAGCCGATTTTCCCGCACCTTACGCGGTCCTGGAAAACGAAGTGAGAATCGATGCTGGCCGGACGCGTGGTCAAAATCCACAAATGAGTTTTAAAAAGAGCGGCAGTCAGTCACTGATCCCGGCCTTCGGAAACATGATAGCGACTAATTTGAGTTCAGGGATGGTACGTCATTGGAGGACACGTGGCTATTTCAGAAGCTATGACTGCATAAAAACAGTCTGTGGTGAGCACGCAGTTGAAGCAACCGTCAACCATTGTCCGTACGTCAGTCCATGTCGACCACCTGAATCTCAGATACGCTAAGCCTGTTCATTTGGGCATTCAGACCTCCTGCAGCCACAACAATATCTGAACTTTTAGCTTGCTGCGACTGGGTATTCTGTGCGGCATAAAACTTGACTCTGATGTTGTCAGAGCCACAATCGGTTGGGACGTAAGCAGACACGACAAAATGACATCGGCCAACATCCCCTTTGTGAGACTCCACAGACGTTGCCAGACCAACCGCATACAGGCGACTATCAACGGTTATCGAGTAAGCAAGGATACTTCCGTCCGACGACTCGGGACGATACCAAACTCTGTACATCCTGCCACAGCGCAGACACGACAAAATGACATCGACCAACTTTCCCTTTGTGAGACTCCACAGACGTTGCCAGACCAACCGCATACAGGCGACTATCAACGGTTATCGAGTAAGCAAGGATACTTCCGTCCGACGACTCGGGACGATACCAAACTCTGTACATCCTGCCACAGCAGCCTCTGGATCACCAGAGGTGTGTAGCTTGAAGCTACTGGAGAGTGATGGGGCGGTTAGCTCAACCACTGTGCTTGCATCTTCAATTCTTGTTTCTGAGACACGGCACATTAATGCCAGGCGAGTCCAGTGCGAGAGCAAGAGCAACCTGTTTATCCGCTTACCTCAGAGTTCGGACACTGAGGGCGGCACGATAGACTGGGCGTCAAGGCTTGAATGTTGATTTCATGATGCCTGAGGATGTCGGCGCCGGATAACGCGCAGATGTTGCTTGAAAAACCGATGCAGGACGAACGNTTGAGGCTCCCGTGAAAACCAAACTGATGTGCAAATCAGTGTATTTTGCACACTGCGTCATATTTACGATACCGAGGGAGTCTCACCGAAGTCGAGCTGCTAAGACCAGGGTTCCACGATAACATGGTGACTCACAATGGAACAGCAAGGTTGCCATCAGGCCAGGAGGTGCCCCCTCCCACGCAGTTGTAAATCAGGCTAGGTCAGAAATGTAGTTGCTGCGTAACTTTTTCGACAACTTGCTAGAGGTTTAGCCTTGGTCGTGACAGCAACTGACCGTCTTGACAACCATGGTCAGGCATCATTTGACGAGTCTTGTTTACAAAGTAAACTGATCCGCTGAACAAGCAATTCGCTCAGTAAAGTAAGTCTGTCTAAAAAAACGATCAGCTAAGAATTCGCTTGTCTAATATAACATGTTCGACAAACGAAATTAAAGTCCACTTGATGTTCCGGTGGCTTCTTCCTCATCCTTGGAGTTGACTTGAAGGAAATATAGTCGTACAGTTTGCAAAAACTACGAATGCCTGGAGAAACGGTTAGAAAACCCGAAAAAACGAGAAAAGACAGGTATCGGTTGTCAAATGCTCCTCTACAATGAGTGCACATTCCATGGCGTTTTAGGGTCACTCGGCCTCAGTTTGCTTTCTACCCTTATAAGCATATGTTTTCCCCGTAAAAAAGTTTAACCAGTATGGAAGGATATGTTCAGGTTTCACATTAACTGTCTACTTTTGACCAAACATAGTCCTTAATGAAGATATTTGGTCATCAAGAACAAAGCAGCATACATCCTGTAAACAGGCAGAGAAATTTTGAAATAGATCATTTGAATATGACAGTGAGGCACCATTGATGAAAATTCGTCTGAGACGCCTATCTTTTCGCTGTCTACCACACAGAGCGTTGTGAATGAAGACATACCTACGAAGCTCAGCAGATTAGCCTTATGAAGTTGATTTTTGGGTAACGGAGGACGGCAATAAGTGCATTCCCAACTCAAACACATCGATGGTG